TTGTTATATTTCTCAACTTGTCCCTCGTTAGCTCTTTATAGTTTAGTATCATTGATGTTTTCTATAACTAATTGGTGACTTGAGCTTAATGTTTACGTCACATGATCATGTAATCGGCAAAATAAGTAAAATAAATACGAACATTCTTGTTTCAATAAGGAGATAAAAATTATATGGATGATCTAACTGATTAAAAATGTTATACATTATACATTTCCGCGTACACTGCTAGCGTTACATAATGTTTCTCTATATGACTCCTGCATATCATGACATCCCGTATAAATATTCATTTTGTTATAATCTTTTGATTATTTCATAGTCTTTAACATAAAAAAGTTTCTTTGTAATACGCCTAAATGATATTAATAAGGTTAAAAAAATAGAAGTTGGATATGTATAAATAACTTATTAATATAATGAATGAAAGGAAATACTGAATGAAATTATGTGTATTTTAAGATTGTTGTGACCTTTAGGTTATTTTCTTTAACTGATTACGTGTTTAATCATTATACCAACATAAAGTATAATATCTGTAATAAAGATGTAAGATGTAATCATTCCCTGGGGCATATATACACACCTTTCAGGTCTGCTTGGAAATATTTGTAATATTACTGAAACATTTAAAACTAAGGTAATGCACATATGCCTTACTGGTGAAAATGGTCATCCTGTGCCACCAGTATAGAGCTAAGTCAGTTTGCACATTTGTGCAGTCAAGTTCTTTACTTGTGGCTGTTTTTTTATTTTTATATTGAAATCTCTTTAACACTTATCAGCTATTCCGTATGAATCCGTTACAAAAGGGTTACACTGATTTCTTTACAAACAGTAAAGTGTGTGGTGATGTCTTAATAAGAAAACGGCCAAAATCCGTGAACTGAATCCGGGTATTTAAGCATCCGGCAATTTTTACTTTGCAGACATTTTATCTTTGGATTATCTTTCACAAATACATATTCCGACGACTATCAATAATAAAAAAAAATCATTTTCGTGTGTTTCGATATCACTGGTTATTCTATCAATACAACTTCATTCTAATCGTTATTCTAAAAGTGTTTGTACTTTTGTAGAATTAATGTAGACACAAAAAATGTAATAAAAAGAGCTGCGACAACACAACACACAAAGCAGACTATTGTAAGTTTGATGATATCCTAAATATGAGGCAACCATGCATGTTTTAAACATTGCAATGTCAACAGTATTGAAAGGTCTTTCTGCCATATGACTTAAGTCAGGGAAACTGATAAACCATACGAATTTCTCTAAAATCAAGCAATGAGGAACTTTTATAACACTGTTTGTATCTCCTCTGGGAAATCACTATTCATATGAGTACACTGCGTTTTCTCCCTAATAATTACAACACGGGAAATAAATCAGTACAGTACGTCTTTTTCCTACTAAGTTAAGCTAATTTCAGATAGACATGTCTGTTGTTTTCCTTTTCAAAATCAAGTCTCTAATTAAAGTCTCAACAAATACCTTTGCTATTTACTCGCAAAACTATTGCAACATTGTATGCTCTACGGTTAAGTTACTTATTTTGTCTCTACATTTTCTTTCAATGTGTAGTTGGTTATAACAATACTCGTACGTCCAAACAGAGTTTAACTACTTGACTTTCAGATATATGTTCATTAAACTTACACGAAACGGAAACATATGACAACATTCCAATCAAGAAACTAGTAGAATCAATGTATCAATCATTAGAAGAAAGTTGTCCGTGAATAAAGTACGAAAGACCGGTGGGGACATTTCAACTTCATGAATTCCCGATTTCAGCTTCAGGAATTCTCGATTTCAACTTCAAGAATTCGCTATTTCAACTTCACGATATTCAAACGTGAATTCGTGAAGTTGAAATCGTGAATTCGTGAAGTTGAAATCGTGAATTCGTGAAGTTGAAATCATGAATTCACGAATTTGAATTCGTGAAGTTGAAATTGTCAATTCATGAAGTTGTAATCGTGTATTCGTGAAGTTGAAATCGTGAATTCAGGAAGTTGATATTGTTAATTCATAAAGTTGAAATCGTGAATTCATGAAGTTGAAATTGTGAATTCGTGAAGTTGCAGTCGTGAATTCATGAAGCTGAATCGTGAATTCGTGAATTCCGTATTTTGAAAACGAGAATGCACGAAGTTTAGATTGTAAATTCATGAGAATAAAATCGGGAATTCATGAAGTTGAAATGGCCCTACCGGTCTTTCGTAATAAAGAGTGTTCTTTCATACATACATACATACATACATACCTACCTACCTACCTACATACATACATTAAATCACAAAAATAATGTTGTTATAATTTATGTGACAGTCACATGAAGAAAATACTTCTCCCTTAAGAATGATGGTTTAAGACAAGCAATACTCATTATAATATCAAGTTTTTCATTCCCTTTTTTCTTTTTAGTGGAAACGCCATGTCAATAGAATAAAATGTTATGTATTATCTTATATAATTCACTTTGATACTTCTGTACATGTTTATATTGCAAACCTCCTTGATGAAGTTGTTGAGTATTACTAATACATCTACATCTACATCTACATGTTACTCCCGAACAATCAATTCTGACTATGACTTGGAGGCGCTTGTCAGGAAAACTGTGTTAAAAGAATAAGTGCATTCTAAAAGATAAAGATCACAGATAAAAAGGTGCAGGATAAAAAGAATCTTATGACTTAGATGTTTCTGCCAGGGGTGCCATATGGTGGAACAGTATTCTAGTTGTGGTCGGACATAAGTAACATAGCATACATTGTAGCATGTATTTGTATGACAAACATTTACGTACAATTCTATATAATGTAAGAGTCTCGAAAACAATAGACTTAAATGCACTTTGGAATGCTACGTGAAAAATAAAACTTTAAGGTCTGCCTGGAAGGAAATATTTGAGACAGTACTGAAACATTTTAAGCCCGGGCAATGCACATATGCCGTACTTGTGAAAATGGTCATCCTGTGCCACCAATATAGAGCTAAGTCAGTCTGCACATTTGTGTAGTCAAGCTGTTTACTGGTGGCTGTTTTTTATTATTTAGTCTGGTATTGAAATCTCTTAAACACTAATCAGCTATTCCGTATGAATCCATAACAAAAAAAGTGTTATAATGATTTCTTTAAGGTCAGTTAAGTATGTGATAATGTCTTCATAACTGGTCAAAGGGACACACAGGACATGACCATAATGATGATAATTTAAACATCCGGCAATTTTAGCCGTGCAGACATTTTATCTTAGAAATCATCCTTCACAAATATATGTTCCGACGAGTGCATCCCTTGCAGACATTCAAAATAAGTATTCCAACGACTCTTTAGAATGAGAATATCATTTCCATGTCTTTAGATGTTTCGTTATCACAGGTAATCCGAATTTTCTATCAAAATCGCTATTCTAAATTTACTTGTCTTTTGGGAAATTAAAGAAGAAACAAAAATACTGATGTCAAAAAGAGCTGTTATAACACTACAACCAGACAGTTATTGTACGTTCGATAATATCCTAAATATGAGGCAACCATACATTAAGCATTGCAAAGTCTACAGCTACAGTATTGAAAGGACTTTCTGCCATATGACTTTAGATAGAGAGATTGATGAAACCAAACGAATATCTCTATCTTTAAAATCAAGCAACAAGGAAATTATACAACACTGCTTTTATCTCCTCAAGGGAAATCACTACTTCTATGAAACACTGCATTGTCTCCCTAATAATTGCAACACGGGAAATATATCAGTAAAGCACTTTTTTTCCTTCTAAATAAGCTAATCTCAATAGACATGTTAAATGGTACATATCTCTTGGTAAAATAAAAAAAAATACTAGACAAGTATTTTCCTCTCCCTCATACTCATACCTCTAGCTCAATGAACACTTTTTCCATGTACATGTACACACAAAACAATTGCAACTTCGTATGCACATAAGCACACTCTAAGGTTAAGTTACTTATTTTATTTCTACATCATTTCAATATATTTCGGTTATAACAATACATAAAAACAGAGTTTAACTATTTAAGTCACAGATATATTTACATACATCTTCCACAAAACGGAAACATATGACAACGTCCCACTCAAGAAACTAATAGTATCAATGTATCAATCATTAACAGAAAGAAGTCCGTGAACAAAGAGTATTCATATGATTTGGAATAAATGAAGCAGCCTCTTAAGCATACATATAATCACAAAAAATAATGTTGGTGATAATTTATGTACGTATTTTGTATGAAAGTCATATTAAGAAATATTTCTTCTTTAATGATAATGGTTTTAGACCTTTCTTTCATTTTAGAGGAAACGCTATGCCAATGAAATAAATATTCTGTATTATCTTATATTATTCACCTCAATACTACTGTACATGTTTATATTGCAAACTATTATTTTTCCCCTCCTTGTTCGTCCTTGTCCAATGTGGTTGCGAGTACTACTAAAACATTGTAGCATGTTATCATATGACACAAATGTATGCATGATTCTTTATAACGTTAGAGGCTCGATAACAATAGACGTTTATGCAATTTGAAACTGCTTAGTGAAAAATGTTAACGATATAGAGTAAAAATAAGGAAACTATTTAAGTATTGGGTGATTCAAACATGAATTATCGTAAATATATGTCTTTATGTATACATTTTTGCACTTATTGTTACACTAGTGCAAGTGTATAACGCTGACAAGCAGGAAGTTTAAAATGACACACATGTCATTACCTATCTCTTATTTTATAAGTTTGTATATACTGCACGGTGGTGAAATTATCTGTGAATTTCCCTTTACATGTAAACAATAGATAAAGTATATGACATAATACTGCAAATAAGTCTCACTAAGGAAATATACGTCTATGTCTAAAGGTTATGGGTAAAGAACAAATTTATTTTAAATCATTAGATTATGTCTAAAAGAAAAAAAAGTCAAGTAAATGTGTAGCAAGGTGGCAACTGTTAAGTGCTTACCGCAATATTGCTAGAAGTTTTGCCATTTTAGCAGCATTGATGCTTTCCTCCATTACTAGTTTTTTGCCAACATATAATATCAATATTCCTTTAACTCATTCAGCTGCTTTTCATCCGACTATCTGCATATTATCAACACTTAAATCCACACTAATTAATCCAGGGTATATAACTAAATCAAAACATCATACAACTGACCACTGGTCAATAAATTCTTGAAAGATGATACTACAATGTCTCTGGTCGGTTCCATATAGCATATTGCAGAATAATTCCATTCATTTTGAAAACAACGATAATTTAAATACATGTATAACTCTTGCTGTGTTCACCTTATTCATATTCAAAGCCACTCATTCATATTTAATTTTATTAACCTAGATAAACCTTAAGTGATACATTTTATACTGCCTTCAACCTGATGTAAAACATCAAAGTAGTTTACAACATGTATTACATTATGTTAAATTAGATGAAATCAGCTCTTAGTAAAACATTACAGTCAATCATCTATAGCGTATTTATATCAAAATCATTTTTTCTTCATCCGTATCAATTATAATGGATATCCTATAAATATCATTGGGCGTTAAATATAATCATTGCATATCTGTTGATTTAATCAATTCAATTTTGATATATTGTCTGTCTGTTTTCTTGCATAAAATGTATCATTTGTCAAGAGGGACTATTCCAATAATATTTCAACTATATTTAAATGAATTCCTGAAGTCATGCGGGAATCGTTTTTCAAATTTCATTAATAAGCAATTGTTCTTATCAATTGTGCTTGAAATTCATAATTTTTATAAACAAATCATTATATTCAATAAGCAGTTTATTGGATCAATAAGCCATGATACTTTTACATGAGCAATTCCTTCTTTTTATTGTTATGTCAAATTTTATATGTTAATAGGAAGTGTCTTTGGGTTCTAAAAAAAGCAATTTATAAATCAATTTATATACATCAATTTATGAAAATGATCCCTAACGTACAGAAGTCAAGTTTTACTTAGTTTGTTAACATTAGACAATTTATATATTCTTTCGATAATGATTCTTCTGGAATGAAACAATTTATTTTATGCAACTGCCAAATTTCTTCAACATAGACCGCTTGTATTATTAGACAATATATCTTTGTATCAAATGAACAATGTGACAATGCTAAGGGCAGTAAGAGAAAAGGTTTTATGAAGTGGATTTAAAGAAGACAGATACTTATGTATACAGTTATACAAATTTCAACGCTGAAATAAATCATATGTTACAGTAAATGTCTTACATAATTGTAGAATTTTGTATACAATTGTAAGTTAGCTGTAAATCAAACAAATCTTCTAATTTTGTCCGCCTACCAGTTTATAGTTAATGTTCATGATAGTTAAGGGTTAAAAACGCAACGCCTGTAGGACCTTCCATTGAGAAAAAGGTTTCCGCTACACGTATTCATCCGCTTATAAGAACGATGGCATCCCATGTAATTATTGTTAATATACTAGGATATGGTAGTTGTGGATATACTCGTACATCCAGCTCAATGCTCATCTCATATTTTTGTTAACATGACTGAGGTCAGAGGAGCCTTCAGATTAAACTGTCCTTTTTCGGTATTTTTTATCATTATAATTTTTACTAACTTAATTATTAATGAACAGATTGTTCCTATTAACAAGCAACATTGTATGAAGGATACCTTCCCCACAACTGCGATGTTTTATTAAAAACTTGTTTATGCTTTTATGTATTAATTTGAATTAACTGTCCCCTGTCAGAAGTATTGCAAAATCAGCATCAATTGGAAAATAAGTTGTGGTCTAGGGATCAGACCAGTAAGCCACTTCAAACTCACCAGAGCACAGTTCAGCCCTCGTATCGTTCCTGGGCTGGCTATTCAGCAGTTTACCAGCACTAGATGCTTTCACTTTCGCAAGGAACTGATATCATTTCTGTACATGTCAGTCAGAGCGAATGACAATTTCATGTTCAACCACAATAAAGGTTACCTGAAACTCCTAATTTACAATCTAACGACCTATCAATTGAATCACGCATTAGAAATTTGCTCCAGTCAACCCACTTCTATTTATAGAAGAGATTGGCCTCCACTTCTATTTATAGCAAAGATTGCCCTTTAACTTTCAACCATTATGTACTAAGAAAATATTTAAGTGCCATAACAACAGTTTGAAGTTCATTATATACAACGCTTTTATGGGGGAAAACAACGCCCTATACGTTTAACATACACAATCGTGTTCAATAAAATAAACCTTTGTCCGTCGTTTGACATTTGTTCAAAAGATCATGCAACATAAAATTTCATGTTATTCATGTCAGATTTAGAATGAGTAATAAAACTTTTCAGTGACTCACAAGAAATAATTATAACATACCAACATATCATTCCTCTTTAACAAACATTAAACAATAACCATGACCTTCGAACTTGTTGTCTTTGCCAGCAACATTTCCTTAATGATATATATACTAGAAAGGTGCAAAAATGCCTCCAACTACATTTAAATAAGATTGATCTAAGCATAACGAACTTTAAAAATTGATTTATCATAATTGTGAGACATACATTTCATAATATTACCGAAATATACTTTATATTTCTGTGGGTGTCAAGTTATACATTTTTATTCATTATGCAAATGTTCGTACTCATCTGAAGTCATGCAGTAGAATTTTTTTTCAGCATAAATTGTGGTGCAACCGATTGGTTGCAAAGAACTTATTTTCCAGTCGCTCTAAAAAACTCAACTTAAAAAGAAACATGCATGAAAAGAAACATGCATGAAGTATTAACAACATTTAAAATAGAATATGACTTATGTCGCTTTCTCAGTACATAACACTACTTTACAAAAGCATTTAAACTATTTCTTTTCAATGACCTTTAGTTTTCTCGAGTTTTACTGTAAGAACTTAGAAATGTCAAAAGCGTATTTCAATTTTAAGATATTGCCACTGATGATATATACAGTTATATACTAAAACGTTTGTCATAACAAGAAACCTACAGCACATACATTTATTATACGTTGTACTAAAATGTTTAGGTCTCCATTTTAAGAAAAAGTTGTTACGTTCCAAAACAAGAAATTAAAGTTTAACTATAACACCATTCTTCTTCCACAAGTTCACTATAATTTCTCATTTCTAATGTGCGGCTTAATTTTTAGATTCAACATCACTGTATCTTCATATTATTATATATATATATATTTCTTTGTCTTTAAAAATGCCTATTCTTACTCTTATCATTAGGAAAGTATTGACACCTGAAAGTAGACTTCTCTACAGGGACAAGCATATTCAATTCTACAAGTATTTAATTCAAATATTCAAACAAGCTCATGTTTGCAGCTTCTAACATACCTTTTTTAGCATTAATTTTGATGTTTTGAAAGGTATGGTTACCTACTTGTTGAAGAACGCCTACAATACTAGGAAAGTTCTAATACAAAGCAGGGTCTTACAAATTTTCAAATTGGAAAGACGTTTTGCAAAGACAGTATTTCATTATGCTGGTGAATATTTAAAATGCAATCTGTTAAGAGTTCAAAACTGTGTCAGTGTTCCCAGTTATTTAACATGAAACATAGTACTGTTACGCATGTTGTTACAATCCGCTGGAGAATCATTATGTTCGGTCATACCTTATTCAGCCAGAATGTTTCTTAGACAGAAAAGACATTTAAATAGGAAAATCAAGAAATCTATTCCCACCTAAAATGTTTTGCACATTTGTTTTCTTTTGACACACTAGCCAAAATGTTTTGGAATATTTGCTCATATATATGTCAGTAATATTGAAAAAATGGCTATATTACAGAAATAGTAAATATAGAATAATAGAAATAGCTTGGAAATAGCATTTAATAGCAAATTAAGAGTGTCTAGAGTGTGTTTGCAAAATAAAATACTTTTATATCAAATGTGAAATGGAAACTTATTATCCAAAAAAAATGGAATGAGAAAGCTAAAATCAGTCGTGAAAAGTTACTTTCATAAAATGTTAAAGATATTCTAACATATATAAAGACAAACAAACAAATAAACAAACTTGAACCTCACTTGCAATACACATTCTTAATGTTTCATTTCTGTTATGTCATAATTCCAATATTAAAACAGATATCACGTCATACTGTTAAATGTATAATTATAATTAAATTACATTCAGCAATCTCATATAACAGGAAAATCTGCAAATGTCTTAATAATTGATATAATTGGTTATCTGAATAGAAACGAACAAATCAAAAATATTTGTTGAAATGTCGTTACAACAGTAAGTGAGAAGTCTTTAAAGTGACAAAGGGAGACAAACCTTACTTACATCTACAGTAAAATGTTAAAAGTAACTGGAAATTACTTTTGGCAAAAAAAAAAAAAATGATTAAGGACCATAATGAAAATACTTAAACTGGAAAAAGACAAAACATTCTTTTAGAACTCTTTTTTTAAATATTTAAATGATGGGCCCAGATTGATAAACATTGAGTTTAAGAGTCATTTTAAGTTTAATCGCAAATGATTGTGGGTAGAGGACGCATATAATGATTTCTTACAAAGAAAATTATCGCGACTGTAAAAAAAGAAGAAAAAAAGAAACAAGTGTTGAGAATCGAATCTTGTATTAAGATTAAGTATGGCTTAACTTTATAACGTTTGGACAATGTACTTGGCAAAATACCAATAAAGGTCCTTATGCAGGTAGGTTTTTGTTATTATCATTTAAAATGCACTTTTATCAGCTGCTGCAAACTTTTTATATTCTCTTTATTTCCAGAATATTTTCACATCTGATCCAACTCCTGACAATTTAATTTTAAACCAGTTGAGAAATTATTTTAAAAATAAGAAAGACTTCCGGCGCAGTCGATAACATTCTTGGAAAATGCTTTCTTTGTATATAGTTATTTAATATGCAGAATATTATTTTTTTATTATTTAAATTCGTCGAAGCTTTAGCCTTTGGGGTCCTTCGGCCGTATTATTTATACAAACCAAAATGCCACTTAAGTAGGTCGAAAGACCGAAAGCTACGGCGAATATGAAGAAGGGGTTTTTAATTATAGACGAGTGTAAAAGTTACAGAAATGAAGAAAATAAAAATGTAAATAATAATAAAAATGATTACTAACCTGAGAAGAAACAATAATCTTGCCAACTCTGCATCTTGTTCAATATCATTAGTATCAGACATAGCTCCAAGAGGGTCAGCGGCCCTGTCGATCTTAGCTTTTAGTAATAAAAGTTCAATCGACAAGTTAGCGTTTATATCCTTCTCCTTCTATATGTGCAGTTATGATATTTTTCTCCTCAGTCTGACAGTTCCTCTCTTTTAAAACAGTCTGGAAATAAAAGAAAGATATTAACAAGATAAAAATGACTGTAGATGCCTGTGTACC